TGTCACCTAATCTGGTGCAGTGTAGGATTTGGGCATTTTCGTTCTGAAAAATCGCCCGTGGTAGGGACATATCCCAAACAGGCAGGCTTGCGAGAGTAGGCGGCGATCTATCGTCTTACGAAGCTCGATTTGTTGATGCGCTGCCTTAGTCGTAGAGCGGACATTAAATATTATGATCGAATTTCCAGGTTTTTACTTTGTATGTGTCCAGGATACATGGCGTGGTAGAAGAGCGGCCGGGCGGACCGTAGACTTCGCCGTCCTCGCGTTGCTAACACTTCATCTTTTCATCCATTTTTGTATCGCGCAGTCTACCTTACTGACAGTAGATTACGGTGATGTGGCCATTCCGCCCCCTCCTAAGCGAAGGCGCAAAAAAGGTGCACCTTCTGCACCGGAAGTCAGTGGCCCATAGCTGAGCAGATACCCTGGTTGGAATGATGAACTAAAAGCAGCTCCATCAGGAAACTTTCCGTTACGGTTCAGCCGAGACAAGACTCGGCCACTGTTGTCTAAAAGGACGGCGGCCACGTTTTTCGCTTTCGTAATGAGCGCACCTGAGCACTCCCGTATCATGGTAGTCACGCAGTCGGAAATGGAAAAGAAAGAAAGACTCCTTGCTTTTGCGCTTGACGAGGAGTTGGAGGTGAATTTCTCTCCATCAGATTTGGTAGGGCGTCAGGCATAGGGCCGCGGAAACGCTTTGCATGATATATAGGATATTTCATGAGATAGCATGGCCTGAGGTGTGCTCTACGACTCGAAAAAATATTGAAGGACCTAGGACTTGTGTTTATTACGTTCGGATCTACTTTTTAACGTCAGGCTTTAGTGCACCTCATACTCGTTCTGTTCGGGCATCCATGAACCCCTAACAACCGTCCCCGCCCTTTGGCCGAATGTTTCCTACCCGGAAGTGGAAGTCGCTTTGAGCTTCAGTCCGCGCTAGCTACAAGTGAACACCGGACAAAATCCGATCAGGGCCTGCTAAGGCAAGCTTGTCATCACACACACATACTACGTTGCCGCTGATTATATTGACCTTCGCATATGATGCACTTTAAACCTGGTAATGAAGGATTTTGTTCAGAGGTGTCAGAAGAGCGCTAAAGGGAGCCAACAAACAGGAACAGAAACCACCGAAGACACAGGTCGTGAAGAAGTGCTCGAGAGGAGGCATTGCCTAGTCTGGCGGGGCCTAATACAAGACGACCATGGAGGTATGATTATTTGAGGGCAGTACTTGGCATCCTTAGCAAGGTTTTGCCCTACTTTGACTGCGAGAGCGAAGGTCTTCTCCGGCCAAATGTCTTCCCTATATTTTTTCTGCTTCGTGCTATCGTCTAATGGTGCCCTCTCATGTTACGCCTTTTACCATTATTTTGGTCCGACAGGACACGAGTGTGACTGATACAACCTGTTTAAGCTGCTTCCGTTCGCACGTGAAGTGTGAGGTACGTCCACTTCTGAGACACGAACATCTGTTTCTTGCGAAAGGCGCGCATGTCCCCGCAATTCTTACTCCTTATATCTTCCATCGACGCATTTTCTACCCTTTTTGATGATACCAGAAATCAATCCCCTGCCGTCGGTGCCAAAGACTGAACCTTCGGTGCGTGCCGAACCCAAGACCTCGCGGGAGACCCAGGAAGCCGACCTTCGCGCTCAATCACCCGGCGCGCGCTAAGAGTGATGCCAACAGCGCTGCGAGGAGTGGAAGAGACGAGACAGGCAGAGCTAGCGATCGCGGCGTGGAGGGACGGGGCTCCTTAGACGACGGCGGAGGGCGCCAGGCGGGGCGAGGGGTCGGGGTGGGTCTGGCTTTCCCCCCCCCCCTGCAACAGCAACATCCGGTTTTGCCTCACGTCGGTATCGGTGGGCCATCGCACGCGCCACGCATGCCATTGGATTTAGGCGCGGGCCCTTACTATGACGCGGGAGTGGCCACGAGCGCAGCAAGCGTAAGACAAGGCGTGACCATGCCCCTTGGGGCCGCCCTGGCTCGCTCCCATGCCGCTCTGCACGGGGGGATGGGGCCTCAGGGTGATGGCGCTGTCGGTGTCATGAGTGGGATTGGTGAGGGAATGGGCCAAGGAATCTCGCCAGCTTATTCGGCCCCCACTCTAGGAGATAGGCTACAGCTCCCGGGCATGCCATCTCGCTCTCCCTTTTACGACCAGCCGTCTCGATCGGGTGCCGGGGGTACGCACCGACAGCAAGTGCCACAACACTTTCAGTTTCAACATTTCTTCCAAGAACAGGAGCAGCAGCAGCGGCGACAGTATGAAGGGCTCCACGCACCCCACGGGTCACAACATCACCAAGGCCAAAACCTGCAGCAGCAGAACCGGCTCCTCCAACAGCAGCGATTCCAACATCCACCACAGCAACATCAACAGCTACAACTACAGTCACAGAAGCAGCAGGTACAGCATCATCATTATCATCAAGAGCAGCTTCAGCAACCAGGCGAAGAGCAAGTAGGAGAAGGAGGAGAGCAAGAGAAAGAAGAGAGAGACGAAGGGGGAGACCCAGAAGAAGAGGAGAAAGATAGACATCGACACCGCTACCGACAGCAGCACCAGCATCAGCGAGTAGAAGAACTATTGCGCGAGGAGCAGGAACAACGAGAGCAAGGGCGGATGGATGAAGGGCAACACCAGCGAGAGCCCCGACACGGCCACGGTCAACAACAGCATGAACAGCTGCCGCAGCCGCATCGACAGGCTCAGCCAAAGTACCAACACCACCATCAAGAACAAGATAGTCAACGAGAGGAAGGGGAAGGGGAAGAGGGTAAAGATCGACAGCATGAGAGGCCAACACCCTCAGAGTCGTCTTCAACACCACTGCCCGATCGACCCATCTTTAAAGTTTCACACCCGCCCCATTTCCAGAGGTGTGACAGCCAAAGGCGTCAAAAGCGAGATGAGGGTACCTATCTTAATTCACAGCTGCTACGTCAAGGTCAACAGCAGGGCGGCGAGTTGTCAGGTCAAAAGCAAGAGACAAATCAACAACCGATTCTGGAGCATCACGGGCATGGCTTGATTCAAGAGCAGGATCAGCCGCCGCCAGCACGACAAGAAACATCGCAGCAGCTTGCTAACCGCCACCCGGAGAAACAGGGACAGCAGGCATTACAAGGGCTGGAGCAAGTCAAACACGGACAAGAGCAGCAGAAACCGCAGTCATATCAATTATACCAAGAACAGGAACCGCATCAGCAGCAGCAACAGCAACAGCACCATCGAGATGGAGAGGGTGGAGAGGACGATACTGTGAAAGAGGATGAGGAGGCAGAAGAAGGCACTGAAAAGTCAGCTGCATCCCTGTCGTCCCCAGCACTTCCGAAGCGGCATCAGGCTCCGGCCTCCCAGTCTTCGTTCCGGTCACCAAGTCTTGATGCACCCCAATCGCACGCGCAGGCAGGGCGAGCTTGGGATCTGCACGCGAGTCGGCGCTCAGCGCCCCAAGAAGCACCGAAGCCCTCTCAGCCCCGCAAAAGGGAGCGGTCGGCCCTCACAGATCCATTCCCATGCTTGCCCTCGGGCGAGGGGCCCCAAGACAGCCGTGCATCAGGAATCGCCGGAGGTGCGGGCTCTGCAACGAACGGGAAGGAGAGTCAGAGGAGCGACAGCGCCTGTATCAACAACAGTGTAAGCGAGAGCAGCAGCGAGAGAGGCAGTGCCATGGTCACTTATAACAACTTCCGAGGTCCACCAGCAGATGCGTGTGAAGTTTTTCATCCGGAGACCGAGAGAGTAGGGTTCTTGGGTGGGGGGTCCAGCACCCTCGCCGGCAGTGATCACGAGACTGCTCGGAGCGCATGTACAAAGAAGCATAATTCTTCAGCAAGAAGCTTTGCGAGCGCTGGCGGGGAAAATACGACTCTGGAGATGACGGGACCTTTCTTGAATTTGCTATCCAGCGGCGAGGTGGCTGTAGAGCGCACGCGTCATTTGCTGACGTCCTGGCACCTGTGGAGCGTGGAAACACGGAACGCGAATGCGAAGGCTCACGTGGACCAGGAAGCAAAGGAGGATCTGGAGGAGGTCGCAAAACTGGTTCTGCTTTCTCTTCCCTCGTCGGTGGCGGAATGGGTGGAGAGCCGCGGCCCTCAAGTCACGTCTGGCGCGTCGATGGCTTTGCTCGAGGAAGAAGAGCAAGTACAGAGCTTTCTGGACATGTGTGCCGACGACGATGGCTCGGCTATCTGTAGCGCGGTTTATTGTGGTGGTCGGCTGCAACTGACATTGAATTCTCGCTTTGCAGCAATGTTTATGACATTGGAAGAGATGGAAATGACTATCTCTCAAGAGATAGTGAGACCTGAGCTCGTGTGGCGAAGATTGCTGAGTCCAGAATGCTTTGTGGCTTATAATGAAGCGCTTTGCCAAGCATACTTTAGAGGACAAAACCTTGGTGGGGAAGTTTGCGAGATCATCAAATGTGTGGATCGCTTTGGGCTGGAGTTGCCCTGCTTTATGCGCGTCCGCATTTTCGCCTCCTCTCATGGTTCAATAACGGCCTCAGTCATTTTACTTCTTCCGCTTCAGCTATCGCGATTACTAGAAAACATGTAAAGAAATGTATATGTAATTATATGTAGTAAGTGTTACCTGATGGATAGTCCCGACGAAGTCCAGATGAATGATTCGCACGAAACCTTTTTGTGGCGCACTCTTTTTCTTTTGATAGAAGATCATCTCGTCGAACGAGGCGAGTTCGCACATCGCACGTAGTGCATCTTACAATGGAACTCTCGTCTCTGTGCGCTTTGTAGGACGAACAACTGCCTGACAGAGCGCGGCCAACCTCAGCTCTCTAACCCTAACAGCAGCTCTATCTCCCCCCAGCGCCTGCGCAATCCTACCCGGAGGAGCGACCGAGGCGCTCAGAGGCCGCACGAGCCGCACGTCGGCACACGGAGCTTAGTTATGCTATGGCCATCTTCACCGCCTCTATCTGATCTCTTCCGGCCATGCGCCCATTCTCACAAAAAACTAGCATGGCAGGTGTGCTGCGATGCATTTTTCTGGCTTTGGCGCTGCTGTTGGTAATTTTCATCAATGAAGCCAAGAAAGTGGGGACCTCGCGCAGCAGCGGCGGCATGCCCGGTCGTGCCAAGCCTGCCAAAAAAGCTGCGAGGTAAGCATATACAACACTGCGTCGCACTTGGGCACATTTTCTCTCCATATAAGGATAAGGCGTCTTTCCAGGAGAAAGTGGCTGTAAGACGTACATGAAGACGAGGGTGGAGTGACCTCATCTTGCGGGAATCGGGATCCTTCCGCTTTGATTGACGTTGATGTGACACTTATGGAGCTCTTACAACATGATAAAATTGCTTGATAAATGTCTGTCTTGGCTCTCTATCTTTTTATATCCATGCAAAGCCGCGATCTAACCCGAATTCATGCTTTATCAGCGCCAGGAGATCGAGCAAATCTACTTTCTCCACCCCGGGGGCACGGAGACGGCAGCCTTCCGTCGAGATCTACCGGGAAGAGGAGGCAGAGGATGAAGAAGACTTTGAAGACGACTTCTTGGCTCCACCGACGCGACGAAGTACTGGCACGCGAGGGAAGAAAAGGCCCGACTTCGGGAAACGAGCCATGGGAGCGAGCCATAAGTCGCGTCGTGTCTATATGGACGAGAAGGAAGACGGGTTCCACGGCATGGCGGAAGAGGATAATTATGAGGAGGATATTTACGAGGACGATGAGGGTGGTGACGAATACGGTGGGGAGCTAGATGGGCGCGAATACATGAAGGCGAGAGGCGCCCGAGGGCGGAAGGCGGCCCGCTACGGGCGCTCGAGGTCGCGAGGGAGAGAAATGCGTGGCCCAGCCCCGAGGTCGAGGTATGGCAGAGGCAAGAAGGGCAAGGCGCTGGCGTACAAGCCTTCCGGCTACGGGGTGGCGCGGGAGCCGCTGCAGGCGCGGATGATGCGGAACGTGTTCTTCTTGACGGAGAAGGTGCAGGGCATGGCGAGCAAGGGGAAGAAGATGACCAGAGAGCTGAAAGAGTACTTTAGCGGGGACTTTGAAAGCATGCTGCTCAAGGCAACACGGCCGGACGACGCCCGCCCGCCTCCCGAGTTCATCGGCGCCATCCTGGACGCGACCGCCACCTTCCATCGGGACGAGGACCTGACTGCGGGCAGCAACCCCTACCGAGTCACGCTGCGAAAGCTGTGGGCGAAGATGGCGGAGAGGGATTGGCGCACCGTGGCCAAGGCCCTGTACCTCTTCCACGTCCTCCTCCGCGAATGCGAGCCCGACGACGTGCGCATTTACAAGAAGGTGTTCGCCAAGATGAGCCGGGAGGGGTGCAAGAAGTCCCGGTCCCGGTACTTCGACGCGGGGGCGATCAGCGCCGTGGACGTGATGGACGGGGCGGGGGTGGGGGGGGCGGGGGCCTGTCTGGACCGACGCGACTTCATCGCCCGCTACAGCAAGTACGTGCTCCAGCGGGCGAAGACCTTCACCTCCAAATTCGAGGAGATGAAGGTGATAGGGCAGCGGGAGATCGACGCCAAGGACCTTGTGGGGCAGCTTGGCAAGGCCGAGAAGGTGCTGAGCTCGGGGCTGGAGTGCGCGCTGGGCGAGGCAGAGGAGGATGCGGACAGCGAGGTCACGCTCATGTGTGCGGAGCTGGTGGCCCGCGACGTGTACGACCTCTTCCGGCTCTTCCACGAGAAGCTCCGGTGGGCGATCGACAACCAGGCGGCGGCCTTCGAGGGCGCGGACAGGTCGGAGGTGGCGAAGATCCTGGAGCGCTTTCAGGCGTCCTACGCTCGCCTGTACCCGCAGGTGCAGCAGTTCCTGACACAGACGGCGCAGCTGCTGGGCGTCTACGGGATCAAGCTCCGCACAAAGCTTGAGCCGGCCCACCGCTTTGAGGAGGAGGCAGTGGCCGTGGGCGAGATGGTGGAGGGAGGAGAAGACATCGTGGAAGGAGAGGTGGTGGGAACAGCCACGGGTGACACGGCAACGGAGGCGGCCGAGGGAGCGGGGGAGGAGGGAGGCGGGACAGCTTCAGAAGTAGAAGCGAGTGCGGATGCCAGGGGACCGGTGAGTGGGCGCGTCCAAAGGAGAGAGGAGGAGGAGGAGGAGGAGGAGGAGGAGGAGGAGGAGGAGGAGGAGGAGGAGGAGGAGGAGGAGGAGGAGGAGGAGAATGA